ACGGCCACCGTTTCTTCCAGCTCTACTGGCCACCAAATGAGTGCAACGACGTCACAGCTAGCATCCTGCGCCGAGCAAAGCAGGCGGGCTTCACCGCGCTTGTGGTGACGCTTGACACGTACACTCTGGGTTACCGCCCAACAGACTTGAACCACGGCTTCAACCCATTCCTGCTCCCAGAAATAACCGGATGTGGTCTCGGTCTGAGCGACCCAGTCTTCCAGGAGCAGTTCAAGCAAAAGCACGGCAAGACCGTGATGGAGGACCTCGCGACGTCCGCCCCTGAATGGGCCTCCAAGATGTTCTGTGGTGCTGGTCACTCTTGGGATGACCTCAAGTACCTGCGCGAGTACTGGGATGGACCCATTGTGCTCAAGGGTATCATGGACGTGGAAGATGCCAAGCTTGCTGTCAAGCACGGCATGGATGGTATTGTCGTCTCGTCGCATGGTGGTCGCCAGGTGAACGACTCGGTCTCTTCGATTGAAGTGCTCCCAGAGATTGTCGATGCCGTCGGCGACAAGCTGGACGTCCTGTTTGACTCTGGCATCCGTTCGGGTACGGACATTGCCAAGGCGCTTGCCTTGGGTGCCAAGATGGTGCTTGTCGGACGCCCATGTGTGTATGGACTGGCCATGGGTGGCCAGAAGGGTGCGCTCCATGTGCTCCGCTGTCTCCTTGCTGACTTGGAGCTCTCGATGCGGCTCTGTGGTGTGGCTTCGATCGAGAAAGAGGAGCTCAACCCCTCGCGCCTTCGTTTGGTCAAGTAGATATGGATATGGGGAACTAGTTAGGCTAAGGCTCTATGGTCACATCGGCTTCTGACATAGACAATGTTTTTTTTTTCCGATGCAGTTAAGTGCACGCTAAGTGGCCCCGATCTTGAATGTAAGCCAGGTGGAAAGTACATGGAGAGGTGGCAGTTTTGGCACACACTGAGTCGAGTGCAAATCTGGCCAATTTTTACTTACTCGATTGGGTGTCACATACCCCACCTGTGATCAATAAGGACAGCGACAAGAATGGGACGAATGTGGAAATTGATCAAACTCGAGACACGACCAAGTGTACCTGATAGAGTGAAATGGGTGAATATGATGCAGACAGAAGGAAAGATGGAGTATGGGAGCCATAAAAATTAGAGTAAAAGGTAGGACATGGCGACCACACTGGACCCGCTTTGTGCATGGTACCTGCGTGGAGACTGGGGCACACGCAACGTATCTTTGACCTGATCAAGCAGGAACTCAAGCAACTCCATTGCTTAGGTCCAATGAGCATGCTAGATACAACAACGGCTACGCACCAACCGACGAATGCATGCTGTGCTGCTTTTTTCTCGTCTCTACACCGGCCACATGAAATCCTGTCTCAATATCCGGGGAAGGGATCTGCACATTCATCATATTTACTATCGTCAACTACTCTTCCTTAGATTCCCACGTAAGGAATCCACCTAAGCTGTCACCGCCGTGTGGCATCATGCTAGGTGCATGGTTGCGGTACATGAAGAGTTTTCCGTCGTCATCCACGGAGCAGTGGTTCCGCTTTTGGTCCTTCTTCATCCCCACATAACTGATGCTGTCACTCCACCATTGCCGTCTCGGGTGCGATGAGCATGCTTCAAGCGTCAGATACCCATTCTTGCGGTCGTATTCTCGCTTGGTTCCTTTTGCCTTGTGGTTGTAATCATACACTGGGCGGTTGTCGATTCCCTGCACAGTCAAGCACAGACTGTGATCCTTCGCACTG